TACTACAACTGATTTTAATTGTTTTCTATGCTCCAGACCTATATAATAACAGACGGCTGCAATAATGCTCTCTTCTATTGTCTGATTCAACCAGACGTGCCTATAAGCTCTTCGCTGATTGGCTTGCGCGAGAACGCGTCAGGCGAATTTTCCGCTCAAGTTGAAATTTTTGAACTTGCGCGAAAGACGCGATTGAGGCGAATATCTCACGTTCGCGGCAAACGCATCGCGCATTTCGCGTCATTCGCGTCGCCTGGCGCGAATTCGCCTCTATTCGCGTCTTTGCATTGACTTTGTATGTAATCTACTCGCGCGGATAATTAAATTCGCGTTTGGTGTGAACACACTGTTAGGCTGGCCACAATAAAAGGCCACTCTAAAATGTGCAGTTTTACTTTATTGGGGGGTCCGGGGGGGGGGTCCGAAAACCAGTCAGTATCTGGTGTGACCACCATTTGCCTCACGCTTTCTACATATCAGTTGTTTTCTCAACTGATACGTTAATGCAATTGAGTTTAAACCGTCTTACTCCGTACCCTTCCCAACAAACTGCCTATTAAAAATAATGATGATGATAATAATAATAATGATTTAAACGCATACATAAAAAAATAAAAGATAAAATGATGCAATAGTTAAATAATGATGAAGAAATAAATTAATCATTAAATAAACAATTGTATACCACAATAAGTAACTGGATACCACAATCATGTATAATACAGCGTCACTTCACTGTAATGAACAACATAAACCCTACATAAGAGAAGGTAAAATAAAAAAAAAGAATTAAGAATTGCAATAAAAGTAAATCACATTCCTCCCCAGAAAGTATATATATAGCAGAGAAATATGATAAAGGTTGCCAGACGTAAGATAATTTATGGGAACCTCTAATTTAATATTTAATCTTTTCTAGGTGTAGGTATAACATCAAATCCTGAAGCCAATAGGCGCGTTTCCATTACAGATTTGCGCAAAACTTTGGCGATATTTTATAAATGTCGATAAAAAAGTATTGCGAAATGACGGCGTTTCCATTAACCAATGTTATGCGACTAAAACGTAACCTTTTGCCTCTCGCGATAAGTCATGGCAACGGATTTTGGCTATATTTATTCAAAGGAGGCATATGCGTGTATCTTTACAGAAGCAGCACAGAGAGTCGCTTCAGAAACGTGCGTGGCGCGGCTGGATTCTGGAATAAACATAAGCATTGTGGCCGCAATCAGCTTCAGTGGCCGTATCAGAGCCACACTGCACTGCAGACGTGTGCAGTGTAAATTGTCTAAGCATTAATGGTAGGGAAGGCCCCTTATACTGGAGAGCGGCCACGTATGAAGTGTTTCTTGGAGGTTATAGTACATTGAAGAATGATCATATGACTTTTTACATACGCCATGTGACCTGTAAATGCAAAAAAGACGTTTCAATTGCAGTTTTGCGAATTATTCCTTTTTCGCATTGCCTGAAAAACCACCTCATGTGAGCGTAAAAACTTTTTTACGATATATAGACGTTTTTGCGAAATTGACGCGTTTCCATGAGGCGTATTTTCAATTCGCAATTTCAATTTGCGCAATTTGAAGGGTAATGGAAACGCGCCTAATGTGATGCTTTAGGCAGGTTTGTAGATTTCCAATGTAATAAAACTCGTCTGTGAGCCAATAAGGATGCAAAGACAATAATGTTTAGTTGTCTGAGTCAAATTCGATTCATCACCTGAGACACCAAATATTGAAAATTCAGCACATGGCTTCAGATGTACTTCACTCACTTTAGAAGTGTATTGAATATGGCTGACCAGTAAGAAATAAGTTTGGGGCACGTCCAAAACATCTGAGTCAGGTCTGCTTCACCTGTGACACCTAATACAGGTTTCACAGATCTAATATATGGATACACATGTGATTTTCTTCCCCAGTTGTTCACATTCACAGACATAAGCAACATTATCAGGTTATCCGCAGGATTCTTAGAATCAAATTGAAATACTTGAAGACCTTTTTAATACCTAAATTAATACCATAGAAGCAGGGAAGGGCAATGTATATGGTAACATATTAAACCGTAGAGTACCCATAAAAAAGCATGATTTAGCCTACAGTTCAAGTAACCTACAGGTTTTCACAAAAGCAAAAAGTTTTATAAAATGATAAACTTCACATTTCTCTCTATAAACCATTTTAAAGAAAAGGGATCACATTGATTTAATTGTTTAGATTTTTATAATGCATTAGCTTCTTGTCGATTCACATTTACAATTGCGTGTTTGCTGCGTAAAAATATGGGTCAACTTTGAAACGTGCAGCGCTCTTATTTATTCAATGAAATGAACCTTTTGAAGTTTAATCGTCACATTAAACCATATCACAATTCTTGTCTTTCTGTCCCCAAAGTTAAGACCTCTTGAAATCATAATTACATACCTGCAAACTCACAAGAGGTCAAAAAGGTGACATAGTTCGGGATGTTACCTGTTTTTGCCATCTGATTGTGGCTACATCTCTCTTCTAGCATTGTCATTTCTGCAATAGCTCCTTTCTGTAAACCTCGTCACACTGAGGAGCACGGCAATGTCTGTCCAGAATGAGTTTGCAAATGATGTTTCGAGGTCTTTTTGATATGTAAAAACATATTTCATGTGAAAGGCCTCTTTTCAGTGTGAATTCTCATGTGCTTATTAAGGGATACTTTATGTCTGAGGCTCTTTTCACACTGATCACATGTAACTGGTTTCTGATCATGTGATAGCTAAGGTTTAGTTTTGTTGTGAAGCTCTTTCCACACAGATGCAGGTTTAATGCTTTTCTCTGGTGTGAATGCTCATGTGGTATTTAAAGTTTCCTTTTTGATTGAAGCTTTTTCCACACTGTTGGCAGGTGTAAGGCTTTTCTCCAGTGTGAATCATCATGTGCTTGTTAAAGCTTCCTTGTTGAGTAAAACATTTTCCACACTGTTGGCAGGTGTAAGGCTTTTCTCCAGTGTGAATCATCATGTGCTTGTTAAAGCTTCCTTGTTGAGTAAAACATTTTCCACACTGTTGGCAGGTGTAAGGCTTTTCTCCAGTGTGAATCATCATGTGCCTGTTAAAGCTTCCTTGTTGAGTAAAACCTTTCCCACACTGAGAGCAAGTGTAAGGCTTCTCTCCAGTGTGGACGCTCATGTGTTTTTTAAGGGTTCCTTTGTGAGTGAAACATTTTCCACACTGTTGGCAGGCGAAAGGCTTTTCTCCTGTGTGAATTGTCATGTGGCTTTTAAGCATTGTTTTTTGAATGAAACTCTTTCCACACAGTTTGCAGGTGAAAGACTTCTCTCCAGTGTGAATTTTCATGTGGGCATTGAGAGTTTGTTTATGTGAAAAACTCCTTCCACATTGATGGCATGTATAAGGTTTCTCTCCAGTGTGAATTTTCATGTGGGCATTGAGCGTTTGTTTATGTGAAAAACTCCTTCCACATTGATGGCATGTATAAGGTTTCTCTCCAGTGTGAATTATCATGTGCCTTTGGAGGCTTGTTTTTCGATTGAAACGTTTTCCACACAGTTTGCATGTGTAAGGCTTCTCTCCAGTGTGAACCCTCATGTGGACTTTAAGGTTTCCTTGGTGATCGAAACTCTTTCCACACTGTTTGCAGGTGAAATGACTTCTAGTTTCAGTTTTTTTAGCTCTTTTATGTGAGCAAATCTTTTCAATCTGAGAGCAATTAAATGTTTTTTGTCCAGTTATGGAATCATGGTATTTCTTACACTGATCTTTATCTTGCATTTCATTCAGTTCTTCACGCTCCTCTTTTAGCGCCATCAGGTCTAGGGTGAAAAGAGACAAATGCAAGTTAACCCTTGTTTAAATGCAACAATGTAGAACAGAAAGCATCAATGGCCCAAATCTGCTATTCATGTCTAAAACAGGACTGTCAAACGTAGCTTGTGGTGGGTCACAGTCCTGCAGAATTTAGATCCAACCTGCTCCAAACATTAGTTTTTAAGTAATGAAGACCTTGATTCAGGTGTGTTCAATCAGAGTTGGAGCTAAACTCTGTGGCCCTCCAGGAATTGAGTTTGACATCCCCAGGGCCCGTATTCTTAAAGAATCCTCTCAGAAAGCTCCTAATTTATCTTAAAAATTTCTACGTAAGAGTCTTGGTTTAAGAGCGATTCAGGACCAATCTGAGAGCAACTCTGAGCGAGGAACAGACAAAAACTTTCATCTTAGTGAGGAGGCAGGGCTGACCAATTAAGTTGGTCCAATTAAGTTGAATGCAACTTCGGAAAAGTTGCATTCAGATTAGTGATCGACCGATATTGATATTTTATAACCGATACCAATTATTTGCATGTTTATGTGGCCGATAACCGATATGCAGAACCAATATTTGTTTACTGTTATAAAGTAAATAAATGACTGAATGAAGTAAGTCCATGCTTCACTTTGGTTTTTCCTCCTTTCAGTCATCTTAAAAAAAAAAATGTTGAAAATTAGCAGTCTTTCATGTTAAATTTAATCTTCACATTACAACAATAAAAAAACATTTTATTTAAAGCATCAGCAGCAACACTAATATTAACAATAAGCAAAATAAATGCAGAAGGTCTAATCTTTTCAAATGGAGAAAATACATAAAGTAAAGGAGTAATATCAAATGGTCACATACACTACTATTCAAAATTTGGAGTCTGTACGTTTTTTTTTGTGTTTGTTTTGAAAGAAATTAATACTTTGATTAAATAAGGATGCATTAAATTGAATAAAAGTGACTGTAAAGACATGTATAATGTTAGGAAATCTTTCAAATTTCAAATAAATCCTGTTTGAACTTTCTATTTATCAAAGAATCCTGTAAAAATGCATCACGGTTTCCACAAAGGTATTAAGCAGCACAACTATTTTGAACATTGATGATAAAAAGAAATGTTTCTTGTGCAGATCAGCATATTATAATTATTTCTGAAGGATCATGTGACACTGAAGACTGGATTACTGATGCTGAAAATACAGCTTTGCCTCAGGAATAAAATGAATTTTAAAAATATATTGGATTAGAAAACAGTTGTTTTAAATTGTAATAATATTTCACAAAATTACTATATCTTTAATCAAATAAATGCAGCCTTTGTGAGCATACGAGATTTCAAAAACAATATACAAAATCTTTCTGACCCCACACGTTTGAATGGTAGTGTATATTATGCAGGATTCGAAGTTAACACTTGCCAAGTGCTAAATAAATATTAAAGGGGTCCTATTATGCTCTTTTACAAAGTCTTGATTTTGTTTTGGGGGTGTACTAGAACGGGCTCTCATACTAGGTTGTTCTAAAAACACATTATTAGGAGTAACATTTTAAACTACAGTTTTAGTAGGTTTAAAAGCTGTTTAATAGGCTAAAGAGTGAAGGATAATTCACTGGATAATATTCTCTGGAATATTGAAATATAACAAACAAAACATCGTATTTTATTGCATTTCTCAACTGGCATGTTATATCAGAATTACTAATAATGTTTTTGACGTTCTAGATTATGAAATGCCTGCTGACAGCGCGGTTTATCTATGTATGCATTTACACAGAACTATACTCGAACTGCGATCGCTGCTCGTGGAGATAATAAATAATTAATTTCCATAGAGTTGTATCCATTTAGATATTTATTAGCGAAATAATGGTTATATAGTAAATGTTAATGCAATTTAGGGTGTTTTAAACAAGTGAATCTTGTTAAAAGTTACATGCGGTGGCCGTGCTGGAGCATTTCCTGAGCATCAACCCGGTGAGTGAACAGCAATATGAAAGCGGCTTCACGAGACTAATGATGAGCATATAGACAACAGACAGAGAATTAAATTCAGCGCTTTTATTTCCAACATGCGCTCATTCATGGCTGTATTATTTAACTCATGCAAAGTTACGTCTTTATTGGAAGAGGACTTGACGGATTATTTTAGCCTACGTGACTCTGACTTCATGAGACGATGAACATATAGACAACAGAGAGCGAATTAAATTCAGCACTTTTATTTCCAACATACGCCCATTCATGGCTGCATATTAATTAATTCACGCAAAGTTACGTCTTTATTGGGACAGGACTTGACGGATTATTTTACGTGACTCCGTGAGTTCGTCTCTATGCAAAGCTGCATAAACTGCATATCAGGCATTTACATAATACATCTAATTTGTGCATTAATGGCTGTTATGTTAAATAAAGTTTACTAACTACAGTAAATCAAGTACCTGTGCGCACGCCGTTGTTGTTGTCTTGTTTCCCCTCAGACGCGCTGCAATGTTGATCCTGCGCGCAATTCTCAAAACATCCACAAGATGGCGGCGTTTATCAGTGAATCCGATATTACAAAACCGATATCCGATTATTGTAAAATGTTTAAATATCAGGAAAAATATCAGTAAAACGATATATCGGTCGATCTCTAATTCAGATGTTCAGCTGTGTTCTTCAGCATCCTGTGAAGTTACAACCGACAGCCTGTTCCTGTTCTGTATTTAAAGGTAGGCCTAAGATCTCTCGCTCTCTCGCTAAATCCTGTCTGTCTTTCTCCCTCTCACTCATGCAATAATTACAATAATATAATTTAAATAAACATTGTTAAATTTGTTATGAACGAATTGAGTATTATCTTACAATTTAAATTTATTCTGTAAAAGTGCATTGTGTGTGTGGGGGGGGGGGCATAGAGGTGAATGGG